CTAGTAGACAAAACTAACATTTAGCATATACAGCAGTTCTCTTCTGGGAAAATAGACTAGACATTTTGATGACCCTAATTTGTTTTTTCATCTTTGATATGTTTTGCCTCAGCTCCCTATGTAAAGAAAACGGTTTTAAGTGCTGCATAACAGACAGAGCATGGATCTCCCGATAGACTCCGTCACGGCTGACATGGGAATGCCGGTGTACGGCTTCAGCGATGAGGACTGTTCCAGCTACAACCGTCTCGGCATGGAGAGCGACTTCGAGGACCCACGAGACACGGAGAGCGAGCGGGAGGAGATGGGCCCCGACGCTGCGTTCGCTCCGTACCTCTCCTGCAGGCAGTGCGGCCAGCTGCTGGGCGACCCCCTGAGCGGGGCGCTGGACCTCGCCGGCCTCTACTGCCTCCAGTGTGGCGCCGAGGGTGGAGACTCAGACCGGCAGGACCGTCCGCTAGAGGAGGCCCACCCCACAGACGCCACACAGGGGAAGGTGAACAGAGTCAGATCCACATCCGACGGAAGCTCTTGTAAAACGTACTCCTGCAAACTGTGCAGCTTCAGCTCGCGTTACTCCAATCACTTGAAGCGGCACATGAAAACACACAACGGCGAGAAACCGTACCGCTGCCAGCAGTGCGCCTACGCCTCCGCCCAGCTGGTCAACCTGCAGCGGCACGTGCGCACGCACACGGGCGAGAAGCCGTACAAATGCGAGATCTGCACGTTCGCGTGCAACTCTCTGGGAAACCTGAAGAGGCACCAGCGCATGCACACGCAGGAGAAAGACCTCAACTGCAGCCAGTGCGACTTCAGAGCCAACAACAGCCACTCCTTAAAGAAACACATGATGAGCCACAAGGAGGACAAATCGACAGCCTTCACGGAAGGTAGTTGTTTAATCCACTTCACGTTAGAGCTGCACGATACATTGAAATAAAACCAAAATTGTGGTATAGCTTTAGAGCGATTATCAAATCAAGCCTAGTGTAATTTATTATGGGGGGGGGTGTTTCCATTAAAAATTAGTTTTTTAATGGAAACACATTTTAAATCACAGGGTTTTTTTTTTTTTTCAAATTGTGCAGAATGTTATGTTAAAGAAAAAAATGTTTATTTTGTAATCTTTAGTCAGATTCTGTAATATGGTTAATGTTGACTAATAACCAACATGCAGATCATGATTACACAGAATAAAAATAAAATTGGAGGTAATTTAGAAAGGCAATTTAATTGAATACATGCACTTTGTATTTCAGAATGAAGTGTTCATTTACACATTTACAAATGTTTGATTTAGCGTTTGAAAAGGAAGAAATTAAGAAATAAAATTAAGCCATAAATATTAGTATTGTGAAATATTATTATTATTATTATTATTATATGATTTTTTTAAATACTATAATTTTACAGAAAGATATTATATTATTAGAAGTATTTTAAAAAATATATATATTATTATTTTATTATATACAGTGGGTACGGAAAGTATTCAGACCCCCTTAAATTTTTCACTCTTTGTTATAATAATATAAATATCAAATTGTGCAGCGCTACAAACATGCATGACAAAACTGGAGCTTTTTTAAATCTCTTAAAATTGCAATCACACATTTATCAGAACAGTTGCAATTTTTTTTTTTACATTTTCCCCCAAATTCGAATTTAAATCCTGGCTTGTGGCTCTTCTCACCTCTCCTATCACTTGCTTTTTCACTGCTTCTACTGTCCTATCATAATAAACGTACACATGCCAAAAATACTAGTTATTGCAATAGTATCAAATAAGTAGACATGGGAAAAAGCATTTTTTTCATGATCCAGTTGATTCCTAAAGGATGTAAAGTTCAGACCTATATTTTTTCTGTTTCACTCATATGTGTCATATTACAGAAGTAAAATCGTTATGAATGCCATTTCCCTACACAGGTGAAGCAGTTATTTTACTTGACTTTATTCAGTTATTTTAATGATCAGTGCTCAACAGGAATGCAGATTCAGAGGATGCACAAAGAAGCACTTGTTCTCTTCAAAACGGCAAGTTTCTTGCTATTGCGTATTTCCTTTTACTTTATACTTTGCACTTTAAGCACTTCGTGCTGCAAACCAAAAGAGGAAGCGAAGCGTGAAGCAAGGGGGAAGTAGAAACTCTTGGCTTCCTAAATCTGGATTCGCTGTAAAGAGGAAGCTTGTTTTTGTTCCTTTGTCTTTCAGAGTCTGTGGTGTCTGACCTGACTCTGCACATCAGCAGCGACCCCGACTTCCTCCAGAGCTACGACACCCTGCGAACGGGCCGCCATCCCCCCGCCCTGCTGCACGCCGAGGGTTTGGCCAAAGAGTCAGACCCTCTGCCCGAGCTGCTATTCCCCTTCACGTGCCGCGTGTGCGGAGCGGTGCTGGAGGACGAGGAGGGTGCCACAGCGCAGATCTGCAGCAAATGCACACTAGAGCGGGACATGCTGTCCAAAAGCTCGCCGAGCAGCCCGGAGAAAGGCGACAAGCTGTACTCGTGCACGTCATGTCCGTTCGTCACACAGTACCCCAACCACCTCGCCCGCCACACGAAGACTCACAGCGGCGAGAAGCCCTACAAGTGCCCGCAGTGCAATTACGCCTCCGCTCACTTCGACAACCTCAAGCGGCACCACCGCGTGCACACGGGCGAGAAGCCCTACAAATGCCGCGTGTGCGACTATGCTTGCGGCAACCTGGCCAATCTCAAGCGGCACGAGCGCATCCACTCGGGCGCCAAGCCCTTCCAGTGCAGCGTGTGCAGCTACAGCTGCAACCAGAGCATGAACCTGAAACGCCACATGCTGCGGCACACCGGCGAGAAGCCCTTCAAGTGCCAGGAGTGCGGATACACCACGGGCCACTGGGACAATTACAAACGCCACCAAAAGAAGCACGGCCACTCCGCCGAAGGCTGGCTCAAGATGCACCTGCCGGAGAAAGAGGAAGAGGATGAGGAAGGAGAAATGTAGTGGAAGCTCTCTATGATGTCTAACTCCAGTTGCCTTATTATTATTATCATTATTGTTGTCATCAGAGGAATCCATGTAGTAAAAGCGTGTCACGACAGGGCTGGTTTGCGTTTTTTTTTTTTTTTTCCCACTTGATTGTATTTTGTCCAACTGTTTACAGCAGCTGATTTCAATCCCAGAATCACAGGTTTGCAATTTAAGATCGACGTTTTGAACTGAAAGAGCACATTTATGCACCACTGGGTGAATCTCACAAAAATCTAACAGGCCATGTTTCACCCTAAAATTAAAGAAATTGTATTGTTGCATGAAAAAAAGGAGGCATATTTCTTAGGACCCTGAAGATTTTTTTTTTTTTTTTGAATGAACCATGTCTCTTAAGACCATAATGATGAATAGTGAAATTCTTTTTTTACACTACCTTTCAATTTATTTATTTATTTATATTTTCAAATTTTTTTTTTTTTTTTTTTAGGTTTTCAAAATGAGGCATGTTTATTATGAGCATAGAGTTTGTTTGTTTTTTTGCATTTTAAAATAATTTTGAGAACATATTTAATTATTTTTTTATTTTTAAGTTTTAAAAATTTATATTAGATTTTTTTTTATTACATTTCTTTCAAACCACAAAAATAAACAGCCACAAACAAGGATTGATTAAAAAAAATAATTTTTTTTTCAGTTCAAAAAATTTTATTTAAAAATAAATTTAAAGGGAGCACAGCAAATACTACCATTATAATAACTGCATTATAATAATTATACTTTTTTGCTGTCATGAAAATGTCACTATGCAAAAAACTAATCCTAAAACCAGACTTCATTTTCTTTTATGCAAAATATAACTTCTTAATATTTTTTTCTTTTAAATTTGGCATGAATTATATTCTTGATGCGTTTTGTGAGATTCACCTCTCTGCTGTCATGGATTCTTGTTGAATTGCTGAATGAAAGAACTGCAATAACACCAACAAGTGGCCCTGTTCCAGGCCGATGCGGGAGCTCTAGTTGTTTCATGAGGGATTTGATGACACTGAAGACGTCTGGCTGCTACTGTATGTTCACTTATGCACAATGACAGTGATGTTGCCTTATCTCGGGGAGGTGCTGCTCCTCCTTCTCTCATTTACTGTATCTGAATTTCCTGGTGCCACTGCAAAATGCTGCACTGATCGGGGTCTCGTCTGTCCCCAGCACACTCGAGGTTTTTCCAGGGCTTTAGAGGGACACGTATGAGTGAGTCTCACGAAAACTGTTCAGAAATGCTAGCATTATATTTACCCCGAAATGATTATTAAATAAGGGAATGTTTTGCATAAGGAATATGAGGGTGATTTTTACATATTTTTGCATTGCGACATTATTGTGCATCTCTACGATTTGTATTTCTGTAATGTGGAAGAAAGTAAATAAATTGTTCAGTTATTGTGGTAGTATATATTGTACTATCCCTTTCTTTTTGTTACTGAATTACAGTAAAATAATTTTTTTATTGCATTATGGCGTAAATGACCTTAATTGTCTTTGAAAATAATGTCACAATGCAAAAAAAGTCCTAAAATAGGCCTAATTTTCTTTATACATTTGTTTTTCTTTTCTTTTTGGTGTGAAAATGACCCAGATATGTTTTCATGAGATTCACAATTATGTGTGTGTCTTTTGTTTGACTTTAAAATAGTTCCTTCAGTTTTATTTAGATTAAAGTGTGATGCCTACTGTGAAATGTTCTCTTAGGAAAAGTAATCATGGAAACTAGTGAAGGTTTAATTTTCTCACACTTTTAGTGGGAAAGATCCTGTTTTGCCTTTCCCCCTCTCTTTTATTTGTGTAAACCAGTTCATGAGGAAGAAAGTGGAGACCACATGTTCATATCTGCTTTATAATGAACAGATCATATTCAAAACAAACATTTAAATATTTTGTACACAGTCTCTTTGATATGTATTTGATCTTAAAGGAATAGTTCACCCAAAATAAACATTTGCTGAACGTTTACTCACCCTCAGGCCATCCAAGATGTAGATGAGTTTCTTCATCAGACTGATTGATCCTAACCGATGGATCCTCTGCAGTGAATGGGTGCCGTCAGAATAGGAGTCCAAACAGCTGATAAAAACATCACAAATAATCCACAAGCTGCTGCGTGTTTGTAAGACATGTAAAATGTCTTAAGGATGGATTTGTTTTTTAAAAACAATCAGCATTTCATTTCACAAAACGTTAATTGCTGTACTGGAGTGGTGTGGATTACATGTGGATTATTATTGTGATGTTTTTATCAGCTGTTTGGACTCTCATTCTAACGGCACCCATTCACTGCAGAGCATCCATTGGTGAATGCTACATTTCTCCAATTCTGATGAACTCATCTACGTCTTGGATGGCCTGAGTATAAGAACATTTTCAGCAAATGTTCATTTTTGGGTGAATTATTCCTTTAATTGGTCCTTCACTTTGGTCCGTTTTCTCTCTGTTACAGAACTGGCACAGTCACTCTGAAATACACCGCAAGAGTTCAGTGCAATCAGGGAATGAATAAAAAATAGATGCACAGCACTGAATCCAATGATATTTGGTTTGCCGTATGGTGTAATATGATTATTTATATACTGTATTTTTGTAGGTTTCTTTAGCTTTCTAATATTTGTACACAAATTTTTGATCTGAAGTGGCCTTTGGTTTCATAATAAAGGTGTTTTTAAAATTTGATTAAAAGCAGCTGCATTGAGACATTTGTTAAAGATGAAACTAAATTGGAATTCTGAAAAATAAATATTCTGTGTATTCTATTCTACAATATTAGATTACAGTGCACTAATTTAATTGGACGAGTATTCAAAGAATGCTGACATTTTGTTTCGTTGTATTCCAAAGAATTCCAACATGTGATTCACTCTTTCTCCTTTTCTATTTCAGTTACACAGTTGTAATGTGCCCTCTCAAGCTAAATTATTAAGACAATTATTCTTTCAAAATACTTTTTTGAGTATTGACTATTATATATATGTGTGTGTGTGTGTGTATAATATTATATAATGCATTTTTAATAAATGTTAGTTATTAATGCGGTATGGCAACTATACATATAAATACAGAAATAATATATAAAGAGAAAAAATTAGGACAAATATCTTTTATTTCCTTAGTTTTTTTTTTATCAATAAATGTGCATTTTTTACAATACAGCAAAGTGGAAAACACAGGACTGACATGAAAAAAAAGTTAGAAAAATTATCTTTTTACATAAAGCAAAATCTGTCTGTTTAATTGTTTAAGCATTTACCATTTCTTTCCTGTAGAGAGCAGAACTGAGCTTTTCCAGAGAGTAATCACAGAAAAACAGACCATCATCACACATATTATCATGATATTGAATATGAATAATAATGTTTTTGTGATTCAGGTAACATTGTCTGATTTGGATACAGGTCCACGTGTTTTTTACTCTCATCATGACATGTATATTCCTGTGTTTGTGTTGCTGGCTGAAGTCACGGCGCAGTAGCTGGTTGAAAGGGACCAAACCTCTCTCAAACACCTGACTTGGTTCCGTTTTACCAGCAACTAAGACGTGTTTCTGAGGACAAACGGATTTCCAGTTTAGGATTTCTAGAGGTGAGAGGCATCGCTTTCCTCAGTGACATTCACACTTCAGCATCTGATTAATCACATGTCAAACGTTTTATTTGCAGTTCGAATCATCGATCTCATCTATGACTCAGGAAGCAGAAGATGATCTTCCTTCTGGACAATGACACCGAGTCCGTGGATGTGCCGGTATGTCCTGACTCTGGTGTGTCCGTCCAGAATTAGCTCTTCTCCACCTGTCCAGTTATTAATAAGAGTAAACATTCATGATGGCAGCAGCTGCTGTGTCACTCTTCAGTGTTCATGTCATCGTGGAGGAGCTCAGCTTGATAAATCACCAATGACCTGAGCTTGACTTTCACACAACCTTACAAAGTGATCAAACCACGTTGTTTAGTAGAGCTTATTTTACATTTTAAAACTGAAGATTGCTGCCTTTGTAAACCAGAGACCCTTTTAAAAATTTTGAAAATTCTTGGAAAATACAAGAAATATTTGCTTGGAAAAAGGTTTTAAGCTCTATAGAATCAACTAAGATTGATAAAAATATATTTTTTTTTTATAAAACAATATCTAAAGTTTAACTGTTTTAGTTCTTTATATGTAAAAATGATAGATTTTATAAAAATGAAATATATATTTTTATATTTCATACATTTTAAATAATTTTTAAAGAACAAATAACAGTGTTTAACTAATTAACTATATCATTTGTAGTTCTTCATATTTTATGTAATTTATAATACAATTAAAATTACTTAATATATATTTACATTAATTTTATATTTTATAAACTTAAAAAACATTATAGAACAAATAATGGTTATAGAACTCATTAACCCTCTATATCATTTTAGTGTATATGTATATATAAATATAAAATATATTTACAAGATGTTACTTTTTATAGTTTATAAATGTACAATAATTTTTCATAGAACAAATAACAGTTATAGAAATCATTAACTCAATAGGATGGATGATAGTGTTCCCTGTGATCCATACACGTAATTTAAGTCAGTGGTGCCATATTCTCTAACAGTTTTAAGGAGATGATGATGATGATGATGATAAAGACTCTTTGAGACCACACACTTCCTTACATTCCATAGATTGATTCCGTATATGGGGATATAAGGAAGTATGTTATCTCAAGGAGCAACAGCCAGATCTGTTAAACACACCATACATCACAACTCACATAATACTCTATAGTACAGCATAGATCCCATATGATACATAGCATAGGCTTTTTTTATGAACAAGATTTGATGCATCTAGAGAGAGTTGTTAATCACCTTTTTCCCTCCACTAGCTGATTTTAAACAGCCCTGCGGTGTAACAAACTCACATTTAAAAGTACAAACATTCCATTTGATATGACATCATAAAAACGGAATGCTTGGTCAAATTTAAACTGTTGAAAAAATTAGATGGTGCTAAATGCTGTTTCAAATCATTTTAGATGGAGTTTAGCATGTCATAGCTCAGGATATGTCAACTTTCCCTGTCAGTTCATTCTGACCTGGCAGGCATTTACAGTATACAGGCTATTGTCTAGAATTTGCATGACACTTTCGCCGCCTTTCAAAAAGTAAAATTTGTTAAAAAAAACAGCATTTTCTTTCTGAAATGCACTTGAGTGAACAAAAAAAAAAACTGAACGAAGCAGTAAAGAGAGACTCAACCAGGAGCCAGTTC